AGATATATTCTCATTTTATTCACGAAAAAAAATAGGGAGGTCTTAGAGATGAAACAATGTAGCATGATTCTCGTTAAACAATAGAAGGAAACTAGGAACAAATTAATATATGATTCCTCACCTCCTATCCATTTGCGAGCATGAACAAAATAAGAATTGATTTGCTATTATTATTGGCACATTCTATAAATAGATGGGGCATCATGGGATTAAAAATAATATGGATATAATACAGTGTTTCAGTAAGTCATAGAAAATGTTAATATATCTTCGAACTTACTGCAGAAAATCAGAAGAATTTGCGTTTTTTAGTGAATTGAAAAATGAACAAAAAACACAATTTTCATTAAACTTAATAACACTATAGGGAGTTTAAATGAAGGAAGATCAACTGAAGAATCCCCATCGAGTTTTAGATAAGTCATTATGAAAGTAGTTTTTATTGTTTATTGTTAACCTACGCTCGGATTTCAATCTGTTTTAATTATTCGACCATTCATATACTGTGTTTTTATCAAAGGTTATAAATACCAGGAGTCCTTTGAATATCATCGATAATTTCTTTAATTTTCTACGAAAACTTTCTTATTCGATTGACAAAATCACGAGTCCGTAGTCCGTAGGACGAGTGGTTTCATCTTATTTGGTTTGTTTGAATGATTTTGTCTCAAATAAAAGAGTTTTGAGTGATGAATATTAAAAATTATCGGATAAAATTTGAGGAACGAGTTGTATTTGGGAAGATTATTTTTTCCACCAATTTGATAAAAAGACCTAGCAAGTTTCACCAGTGAAATTATTATTACGAAAATAAAAAGTCAACTTCAACGCCCTGTATCTTTTTCCACAGCAATATTCTATAGAGGCATATTTAGTCCTATCGCCATATTTTGGTCCAAACAATCTGCCCTTAGCCTATGTCCCAATAGTTATGACTCGCCCTGTATACTTGCAAAATACTTCAGTATCAATAAAAATATTCTTGTATTTATTCCTAATGACGATCGAGATTTTATAATAAACAGAGACTTGATGAAATTTGAAAATTGGCTGCATTCAAACCTCTTATCAATAAATACTGATAAAACTGAATATATGATTTTTCAACAAAAAAATAAACAAAATATAAATTTAAATCTCAGGATTAAAAATGAATCTTTGAAACGAACTAATGAGAAAAAGTATCTTGGGATTTGGTTTGATGATAAATTAAAGTGGGACAAACATATAAATGTTTTGAAGAAAAAAATATCTCCTATTATTGGAGCCCTGAGAAGATGTCCCAAGCTGAATGAAAAAGTTGCAAATATAATACTATATTCTCATATACTCAGTCGTATTAACTATTTGATAAATGTTTGGGGATACTGTTCAAAAAACAATTTCAATAAAATATCTGCATTATATAAAAAGACATTGAAAGTACTGTATCGTTTACCATATGATACACCAACAAATCAATTATATAAAATAACTGAATCATTCTCATTAGAAGAAATGTTCAAAATCGAAAGACTGAAAATTACATACAATATCATAAATAAAAGATTGAAATCTAATTTTATTTTAACACGAAACAATGAAATTCATAATTATCAAACTAGACAACATGGTTTATTTCATCTTGATATCGCTAATACTTCTATAGGCCAAAAAAGATTCACCCACGCTGCTCTCTTGGAATATAACAAATTACCAGATAATATAAAAAATTGCAGAAATACAATAAAATCCAAATACCATCTTAAAAAATTCATTATTTCTGAACGAAATAGATGACTTTTTTTTTTCAACTTTTGATTCATATTCAAATTGATTTTTGCTCACCAATATGAAATGATTCGTCAAAATTTAATAATTAATGTTTTCAAATATTTTATTATTTATCAGTTCATTATAATTGTATAGTTTTAGGTATTATTGTTAACTATACTTCCTTATACCAGAACTTGATTCTGACTGGAAGTAACATTTTCAATAAATAAATAAATAAATAAATAAATAAATAAATAAATAAATTTGATCGCAAATTATTTTCAACATCATCGTCAAATCCTTGTTCATCTTTTCAAGATGCAAATATTCGAAGATAATCCTCATAAATTGATTGTTTAGTTGTGTTCTCTGTTATCTGCAGTAAGTATTCAATCCAGAAAATTCATTCCAAATCCTGATTTGAATAACAATCAGAAATATTCTTGCACTTGTCTAGCGTTTTCCTGCATTTCTTGTGTTATTTAATATCGTGAATTTCAATAATTATTTGAATAAATTGAAAAGGGAAAAAGTTTTTTAATAAAAAGCTTTCGTTTAAACGCTCTAAAAAGAATAAAATGAAATGTTCCATTCTCATTATACACAATTTATATGATCATAACACAGTAGCACATAATCTTGGCTGGGTATTGGCAATATCAAAAATATTGGGCCAATATGGAGCCAATATCCTGCCAAGATTCGTGCTACTGGGGATAAAAGCTTGTCGCGTGATTTATTTGCGTGAAAAAACTAGTACTAATTGAATTTTGTAGAATCTGCCATTTAAATTTTTAAAATTTCAATTCAATTAAATATTGATCATCGTGACAAGCTTTATGATTATTTAAATTATGTATAATGAGGTTATAAGTTTATAGTTATAATTATGAAGGAACATGTTGATTTATTCTTTTTAGAGCGTTTAAATAAAAGCTTATTATTAAAAAATTCTTTTACTTTTAATTTATTTTTTAATTTATAGTTCTCCTAGACAGGTTGCAGACCAATGATGATGAGGCCCATCTCGCCAAATTATAGGAGTCAATCCATGTTACAGGCATAAAAATCGAATTTTTGGATGGTCCGTCATATTGGATTTAGAATAACTTCACACACCTTATCGTGCATTGTCATCCAAACTAAACGTGAATACAAAATTTCAGCTCAATCGGTTGAAGATATATACTTCAAAATTGAGTTCAAAGATTCCACCTGAACTAACATACATACATCCATACATATCAAGTTGAATACAAGTTTTTAAATGAAGAGTAACAGAGCTCTCAGGAAAAAACTGTTCGCGACAGTGAACTAGGATTAGTACTTCGAAATAATAAAATACATTTTTTTCACTGAAACAGGCCCATTCAACCGACCCTACGGTTATACGAGATCTCAATGATTTATTTATTTTTATTTATTTATTTCAGTTATTGCATTACATTCTCTTCTTCATTGATACATTTCATACAAATAATATATATAGTATAATTAATTTTCTAGTAGGAATGACATGAATGATCAGACAGTAATTCCTGATATAAGATCATTCATGAAGTATTATCGACTGTTGTATAATTGAAATTACAAATAGTGAACAAGAAGGGGAAAAATAAAAACAGTGAAAAAAAAAAGAAAAAAGGAAATTCATAGTCTTTCAGCTTTGATCATTCCTTTGCATATAAATATATTTCTTAACTTTTTTTTTTTTCTTTGAGCGTCCGTCTCACGACCGCAAGGTCGTGGGTTCGATTTCCAGCACGGGCAAGGAACTTTTTTCAATATTTTATTTACGAATTAAATATTGTAAAGTTTCGGAGCATCGGCTGGTGATAGTCCTGCACGATTCGCTGTTGCGTTCCAATTAACAGTGCTGCTCCTAAAGTGGCGCATGGAGTTAGTAACAAAGCCTACACAGAACACGCAGAAAGATATGATGATGTGGTTGTGAGCATCAGAAAAGAAGTAGGACGGTGTATGTAGGTGGGTGTGGAAAACTACCCGCTGAGCGTGAGAGCGGGCCAGCTGCTTAAGTAGACCTCGGTCTCGGGGGTTAACGATGATAGTTAGCAGGACTGCCACTGCGCATATGGTAGTGAGTACATTACTAGCCTACAAAACACAGCTGAAAAACTCTGAAAAGAGAGCTGATGGGCGGTGCCTGAAAAGGATGTTAGCCAGCTCTCTTGAGCGAACCACATCAGTCATTGAAAACACTTGGGGTTGGCAAAAAGGTCCCATTGGGGACTAGTTGCTGACGTGGAAACGTCCCCCACCAGTACCAGTACCAGTAACTTTATTTTTGAATTGCATAATATTTGGGCTGTTTTTGATGTCATCTGGTAATTTATTGAATTTCGAAATCGCCTCATGTGTAAACTTTTTTTGCCCAAGTTTAGAATTTGCAGCTTCAAGATGAAACAAGTTATATTGTCTAGTGTGATGATCATGAATTTCGGAATTCCTGATTAATATAAAATTTGATTTGAGCTTTTTGTTGATGATATAATAGGAAATTTTGAGAGTATTGATTAAAAAGTGCTCTTCCAAAGAAAATGTCTTTGTTTCCTTATACAGTTGATTCGTTGGAGTATCATATGGAAGACGATACAATACTTTCAATGCCCTTTTATATAGAACAGAAATTTTGTTGAAACTATTTTTGGAACAAGATCCCCAAATATTTATGAGATAGTCAATTCGACTGAGTATATGTGAATAGAGAATAATATTTGATGTATATGTACTAAGTTTAGGACATCTTCTCAAAGCACCAATAATGGGAGATACTTTTCCTGTGAGGATCTCAATATGCTTTCCCCATGTTAATTCCTCATCAATCCAAATACCAAGGTATTTGGTATGGGCAGTTTGTTTCAAACGTTCATTTTTTATTCTAATATTCAGATCAATATTTTGTTTATTTCTTTGACGAAAAATCATATATTGAGTCTTATTAGAATTGAGAGAAAGAAGATTGGAATAAAGCCATTTCTCAATTTTTTTCAAGTCCTCATTTATGATATGTTCTAGAACTACTGGGTTTTTATTCCAGCCACCCTGTACATAGACCACTCGTTTCCCTGAGGTTTGGAGATTTTTTTTCATTGATGAAATATCTGATCTCTTCGCAAATTATACTCAGCAATCATCAATAAACTTGAAACACTACATGGTAATGACTGAAGAGTCTAATTTCGCATTTTCAATCATGTGTTTCTCGATCAAACACTTCCGCCTACCTTCGTTGCCGATCACGATGTTCGGCACCAGTTGTTCCGCGTCGCAGCTCTCTCTGCCCGGCACCAGCCGCTGCAACATGGGCGGATACGGATTGCCGTCGATGTCGACGAGAAAGGGCGGCGGCATCAAGTGGGGCGGCACCTGCGTCTGCTCGTCGAGCACGTAGTGGCCCGAATCGCGCACCAAAGGCCGGTAGTCGGTGTGGAAGAAGAGCTCTTGCGGGAGCTGAGAAACCAGGTTGGATTAGATCGTGGAGAATGATAGTCGCATGCGACTGTCGCATACTACTGTCGCATGCGACTGACGCATAATACTGTCTCATACAACTTTTACTGCATCAGTGTCTTTCTTGCATTTAGTGAACTAAATTCTCAAAAATTGATATTTTTGTATCTCGAATGCAAAATGACACTTCTGCATTGAAGAATGAAAGTTATCTTGCTGAGCTTCAGCGAGGCGCTGTCGGTGCGGAAGAACTCTTGCGGGAGCTGAGAAACCAGGTTGGATTAGATCGCAAAGAACGATAGTCGCATGCGGCTGTCGGATGAAGATGTCGCATACTACTGTCGCATGCGACTGACACATAATACTGTCTGCGCCAGTACCTTCCTTGCATTTAGTGGACTACATTAACAAGAATTGATTATCTTGTTGCGAAATGATACTTTCGCATTGAAGAATGGCAGTTAGCTTGCTCAGCTTCAGCGAGGCCAGCAGACGGTGCGCTAGAGCTCTTGCGGGAGCTAAGAAACTAGGTTGGATGAGATTGCAAAGAAAGATAGTCGCATTCAGCTGTCGGCGCATACGGCTGACATGAGGCTGTGCTTTTCTTCGAGCAGTTAGTGGAGGAAAAACCACCCAAGGATTCGTCCCGTTCTCGAAAATATCAATTTTTGTATCTCGAATTGAATGATACTTTCAGGTTCAAGAAATTGAGTTATTTAATAGCAATTCGAGAACGCAGAAGCATTTGGCATTCAAGATGCAAACAATATTGTTCTGAAAACTATATTGAATCTAATATGAGAATAAGTAGGTATATAGTATATCTGTCATTGCTAATTGACTTTTTATGTTTGGACCAAGACGATCTAGGTGACTTACGTCTAGGCACAGTACGTCACAAATCTTCCCGCACGGCACGATTGGGGATGGTTTCAGTTGAAACGCAAACACAGATGAATATATAGATATAAACGCAAGGATTAATACCCTTGAGTACGTAAATCAGTACGCTCAATAACGCAGTGGGATAACGTGTATTCGTATTCAATCAATGAGTTCACAAATAAGTAACATATGACAACTGTTCGAGATCTACCTTATAGAGCATTAAAGTATTTTGCAGGTGAGCGAAGAGGAAGCCACTGCGCTAACTGATATTTTAATGAAAATGGGAATCTTCGAAAGAAATTGTTTCAGATATAACCAGTTTCCACCTTTACAATACATGTATTTATTTTTCTCTTAGATTGTATACTAACATCATCACTCAGCCATATGCCAAGCCATATGCCAACATCAGTATGTTCACTGAGAGTTGTCAAACTATAAGGAACTCATTTTCGAAAAGAATATTTTGCATTTTTATGTTGAGAACAGGAGCAGATTCGTTCCCGAAACGTCCAAAGATAAGTAAAAATTCGATATTTTTTCAATATATCTATATTTCTACTCTTCAAACATTTTTCCAAACAAAATGTCACTGACAAGTTATTGGATTTTCCTTTCATGCTCCCTGATAGAAAAATTTGTTGAACACAGTGACATTTTGGAACAAAAAAAACTATACATACATTGAAATAATAGTCATATTCTCATTTTATAGAAACGAGGAGAAAATCCCAAATAATCAAGTAAAATAAATACTTTTTCACGTTCAAGAAATTGAGTTTTATAATAACCATTCGCAAAATCTTTTCGCATTCAAAATGCAAAAAATACTGTTTTGAAAACTCCTAAGATGAATAGATAGATAGACATAAAGATATACAAACCCTTGAAAACGTAAATCAGTAAGTGAGTAAGTAAGTGAGGAACATTTGAGTTATAGAACATAAAAGTATTTCTTAGCTGAGTGACAAGACAAAGCCACTTCACTAGCTGACATTTCAATGAAAATGTCAATCTCCGAGACATTGTTTTAGGTATAACCAGTTCCGTCCTTTATAATACAAATAGGTATAGGTGACTAGAACTAAAGTTTTTTACCCAAAAGTAGAGTTAACTCTTAAGGAATTATTGAACTAGAAATAACCGATATCTTACGCCAAATATGACCAAAAGTTTAGGCAATTATTAGGCGACAAATAAAGTAGCAACGTCGTAGAAATCCCAGTAATATCTACAAAATGAACTCTACAGAAAAGTTATCTTTGGGAGGTAAGCGTTACGAGAAGCATGTAATTAAAGGTACATAAGCCAATGAGTGATTTCGAAAAATAGTGCTTTGTAAAAAAATATGAAGGTTCCACACTTATTATTATCAAGAGTGAATATCACGTCGATTTTACTCACTGGATGAATATCACTGATATTTCTAATATGGAGTTATGGAATTCAATTCAATTCAATTTATTATAGAATAATTAAATGAGTATCATTTAATATAACTAAAAATCGTTAGGTTGGATATCAGTTTCTGTGTTTCTTTCAAGAGAGATTTTCAATTCTTTCTTTGTTGGTGAATATGAATTTTTTATGGAATATTTGAATTTGTTTAGTTTTTCAATTTTTTTCAATTCTAGTGGCAGATAATTATAAAGTTTTAGACCATTGAAGTGTACAAATCTTTGAGAATGAATCTTCTTGAACAATGGCAGATTCACAGACAGATTTTCACATGATCTGATGTTTTTTTGGTTTGGTGTGTCATATTCATTTTTATGGAAAAACATCCAGATCAGGCATGAGTAGGTATGGAGGCTTCTTACATGGAGTGGATTAGATTCTTTGTAGAAATGAATATAGATACTAGTTTCTTGAGCCCTAGGCTTTTCAGTCATAGAAAAATGCTTGTTGGGAAGTAAGGGCAATCTAATGATGTGCCGATATCATAATATACACAGTGAATTGTTTGATATCTGATTGTGGGATGTCTTGTGATCAATTGTTGATCTTTTATACAAGACCTATAATAACAGTTTTGCATGGTCCAAATAACTCCTCTTGGTTAAGATAGATAGATAAGTTTTTTGATAATCAAGAAAATTATTGTTAAAATATCTAAGACATAACAACTACTTTTCTGGCTAATTGCTCTCAGAGGTCTTCAAGAGACTTGTGCGAGCAAGGAATGACGGGGGTCTTACCTTTCAACGTGTGATCCCAAACACTTTCTCAGCCCATCAGAAAAATTTCTGCGGTCGTGGTGGGAATCGAACCCACCTACCGGCAATACAACGTGTGTAGAACATTGACGCTTCAACTACGAGGCTACGCTGGCCACATTATATTGAATTATAACTGTTGAATAAGGTATTTCTAATATTTGACAGATAAAATTCAAGATTTAGTGGTCTTAGCTAGAAAAGTGGTTGTTTTCCGTTTGATATTTCAACAATATTTTTTTATTTATGAATAAAAAAAGAAAAACTGGGAAAAAAAAGGAAATAAACAGTAGATCTAATTTCTTACCTTCTGAAAGTACGGACTACCATTTCCGAACCCGAACAAGAGAATGTGCCCATGCGAATCGCACCCGGCTATGACGGAACCGTCAGGGCTCCACTTGACATCGAACAGCGCTCCGAAACCCTGTCCCTCGATCGTATTCAGGAATTTGAAGACTATTTCGCCCTTGAGAATGTTCCAGACGATGAGCTGGCCGTCGTGACCTGCAGAAAATGGAAAATTTTAGTTTTAGTTATGAAATCAAATTGCACTCGAAATTTTTATAAAATACAATGTGTCCAAGATAAGGATGTCTCTCATGGGGATCTCGGACACCATATGAAATACGAAGATGGATAAATTAGCGCATTTTCGAAGCCTAACAATTTGACGTATAGAAAGTTTCAAATTCCCGAGTGGTTCCGGAGATATGCCTAAAAAAACTAATTTTATTATTATTTTATCATTATTAAAAAGTGAGAATGGGCTGAGGTGTGAACCTATAAAAGCCCATTTATACATGACATAGTTGTATGGTACACATAAAGAAAAAAATATATATATGTAAATAGCTACTAGACAAACAATTAGATTAAAAATAAAATTGAAAAAAACAATTAAAAATGTTGAATAGAAATTGAACATTTCGAAATAAAATAAACAGATATAATGCAATGCAAACTGAAAAAAAAACAATTTATTCAGTAATACGATCTAATCGACTTTTGAATGATGATACTGAGGGTGCATTAACTATGTCTGTATCCAGGTTGTTCCATGCCGAGAAAACACGATTTACTATGAAGTTCTGCCGATTTGACGACCTGAAATGTTCCTTCTTAAGTTTGAAATTATTATTTGAACGATTTCATTTTAATTTTTTTCTGACATTATTTGAAGAGATATAGGAAAACAAAAGACACTTTCTCATTGTCACTTCTTAACTTCTACAAATAGCGTGGAATATTCATGATAAATATTTCCTCAACATCGAAATTGCATTTCATTCTCAGAAGGGAAAAGTTACAAAAGGAGGAAGAAGCGCCCCAAAAACTTGAACCTCGATCGTAATCAGGAATTCGAAGACAATTTCGCCCTTAAGAATGATCCAGACGATGAGCTGGCCGTCGTGACCTGCAGAGCATGAGGGGGAAATTTCAGTTTTAGTTATCAAATGAAATTCCACTTGAAATTTTCATAAAATACAATATGTCCAAGATAAGGATGTCGAAAACCATAAGAGATACGAAGATGGTAAAATCACTGAACTGTTAGATCTCATAACTAAGAGATACAGGATGAACAGAGTTGCCACAATTGTCAGCAGGAGCGAGACAATACTGTTTCGACCCACCGGGTCTCATCAGCCGCTCTCGGTCTGCTGACAACTGGGACAACTCTACGCTTCGGGTATATCACCCATTTCGAAGACGCAGGGTATAACATGAAGTTCTAGTCATGTTGTAGCCATCTAGTGGCAAAGCTCTAAGGTAAAATCAAGACATCGCGACCCACACTGTATGGCGCCGCCATCTATAGTCACCCGTTGAGACCCTTACGTCTATGCGCTACAGAATGGTACTACAAGTACTTGTGTCTTCACCTCATGTTATTTTGTTATTATTGTTTATAATCAACTTCCTCGTACCCGAATTTTATTTCTGACTGGAAGCCATTTTTTCAACAAACAAAAAAGTTGGTGGAAATATACTTTCTTACAAGGAAATTATCAACTTATAGAATGAATTCGACATATTCTGATGTTAATGTCGTTTTGCCTATAAACGCCAAGTAATGGCCAGTGTAATTTCATGCTCTGTCTCCCAAGGAGGAGGAAGAAAATTACGGAAATTTGAATAGTTGCAATGGCAATGATACATAATACAGGCTTCCAATTGGTCGAAAATAAAAGGAGTGAAATTTTCACTGTAAAAGTTAGGACAAACTTTTTTCGCTGTTATAATGACAAAATCCCAGCGGCTTTTATAGGATTTCTTATGCATGAATTACATCTGATTGATTAATTGTTTTTATTATCCCAAGAAACATATATGTTTATAATAGGGGATACATGAACACATATAAAAATAATAATAATTTCAAAAGGTTAACTTATCAATTCCACTCAGTGAAAACAGATTCATACTTTTTCTTAAGATGAAACTTATAATAGATTGTTTGCCAATGTTAGACTTGTATTTGCTATCAAGTAATTCAATTGTCTAGTCCCACAAGTATGGACTGTACTGACTTCATTAAAACCTAAGTTTGATATTTCAAAATTATTCCTGACAAAATGAATGGAACAATATATTTTGAGTTTATATTATGAAATCAGATTTAGAAATTTTTTAGGTTTGAATAAATTTATTGTTGGTTCTAGAAAATTGAGATGAAAAATGCACTTTATTGATTTTTTTGTAATTTCATTAGTGGTTTGAGTCGTGAAATATTTGTGCTGCTCCAAATAGAAATCAAATATTGTAAATTTGAATATATGAGGCAAAAGTAAATGCACTTTAGGTATTTTACAGGAATGATATTTCGGATTTTGAATAAAATGCCTATGATTGGATTCATTTTATTTCTCAAATGGTCTATGTGTTTAGTCCACAATAATTTTTCATCAATATAGAGACCTAAAAATTTTGTTACCTCTGTATATTTAATGAATCTATTGTTGAAAGATATTGCATCATTTGAAATATTACATAAACTCTTAGAGATATACCATGGACGTATAAAAAAGAAGGACACAGTAACTCAATACTTTCAGCATATAATGTTTTGAAGTCTTAGAGATGTAGGCAAGCGGGTTGAGGGGAAGGGAAACGGTAACGATAGACTGTGCTACTTCCTCAAACGACAGCGGCGTGCGAAAATGAATTATCGTGATAGTAAATTTCGGAATCCAAAATGCAAAGAGCGACTAAAAACTGAATACCAATCACTATATGACCGTTCATCAATACGGGTCGCTATGGGTTATACCAAGTGAACATAACAAATACAGTTTTGTGTTCCGACAAAACCTTCCATCTATTGGAAAATTATAAATCAAGTTGGCGAAAATACTCTCTTTGATGCCTACCTACCTATAGAAACGTTTTTTCCGATTTCTGGTTTTCACATATTGAATAATGGATTTTATATAACTGTGGTGTGGTGAACTGGTACGCAGAATAGATTATTAAAATAATGAAATTTCGGTACTATAAGGAATCATTGAAAGTTCTGTATCTTTTTCCATATGGTACACCAACAAAACAACTATAAAGAGTGTCCCAAAATTGCTTGGACACAGAACTACCACGTCTAATGAGGTCAAAATAAATTTATATACACTATGTTATCTATTATTTTCACTTCTTCATCAACCACTTTTTTGACCCCCCGAAGAACAACTTTTTGTCTGATTAATTGATGATCACTCAATCCGATCAGTTTGGGAATCTATTTGATAACGATGCAGATGCAAAATACTGTCAACTATATCCTCATTCATGTCTAACAGTTTATAATAAGGATAAGGATTATCACTAGACAATATGACTGAGTATCATTTCATTTTTATTTTTGAAACTATGATACATTATATACTGGCTTCTATATGACATGTAATGCAAATAACACAGAAATAAAAGAATAAGTAATAAAAAAATATAGAATTATAGGAGCTAGGTATCTACAATTATTGCTATCACATCACAAATGTGTAATAATAATGACAGATTAATTGATAAATCATGCGGCGAGGGTCAAAGAACAGTAGACGCCTGTCAAACCGCAGCGCTAATGAGTCGTCGTCGAAAAAACTCTGATATCGACAAAAAAGTGCATCCTTTTTTATTTCGATAAATATTGTTTTGATATGCCTATAACTGGATGGCAGTAGAATTTCTATCGTTTCCACAATTGTTTCTGATTCGACCGTCCTTATTATTCCCGAGGTTATCCTAATTCAAATTATACGCGTTAATAACGTTTTATTTTTCAAAATATTCCATGATTCTGGAACTCAAGAAATATTAATAATAATAATAAAAGTTCATTCAAAAACGTTTACAAAATATACATTGGAACATACAGATAGGTATTTTTAATAAACTGGGAAAAACCTTACAAAGTGAACCTTGTAGTAAGGATAAGAAACAAATGTACATAGGTCAATGAATATTCAACAATAATATTAAATTATCACATCAGCTGCATCCCCACAAAACCTATACCTAATCTATATAATTAATATATAGTGTACTGAGCATTTAATTCAATTCGCATAATTATTTAAATTTATATATACTTATTCACAATTATTATTTATATGTTTTTAATTTTATTATTGAATGTTAATTTTGAAACTTCACCGTAAAATTGCCGTATATTCTTGAATTTCTAGGTATATTGGAGCAGTCTGAAATGCTGAGATTATGAAATTTCAATTTTTCACACATGCCAGACCCTCGTAAACATTGCAAATAAGGAATGTATCTTTCATCTCCTTTCATAAATGTTAATTCCTATAAATTCTGAGAACGGCGCCACTCTCTGGACATAAATTGTTGCCATGCAAGGTTTTCGTAGTCCCTAACTTTTTGTTATGTTCATTTTTCATTTTGAGTGAATGAAAAAATCAGTACATATTTGTGAAGATCTAATCTATGTTCCTGTCGTCTCACTTTTTCAAAATTTGATTAGTTTTTATGAAAAAAATCGCAAAATAACGTGTTTTTTGATGATTTTGAAATTTTTTTTCTCAAGAACCGAATCAAATTTCGAAAAAGTGAGACGGCAGGAACATTTATAAGATTTTCATGAATATGTACAATTTTTTTCATCCACTCAAAATGGAAAATGACCGTGAAAAGTTAGGGACTACGAAACCCTTGCATTATTGCTTTATATCATAGTACAACTTCCTCTTAACAGAAAAGCATTGAAAAGGAATGTTCTCAGATAAATTATGTACGTAAAAAAATGGATATATACAAGAAATACATTGAGACTTCGCATTCTCCTGATAAAAATATCAATTGTTACGCCTATGAAACTCTAATTCAAACATGTAAACAAATAGTACTTACGAATGGAAGGTGAGATTTGGGTATAAAAACTTTGTTTTTTTCGCAAATCCAGCAGTGTAACACCATTATTAGTCTCTGTCTATCAACTTTTCACAAATAAATAAGAAGATTGACTCAAAAACAACGAAAACAATAAACTTCCTCAAACACATAACCATAAACACAAACAACGCCGAACTCGCCGAAAGGTGCCGAAAGCACGAAACGAGCCTGTTTTGCAGCGGCGTTGTCGGTTGTGTATAATCTCGGTAACCTTTACAGAATAAATTTGAAATAATGTATAACGACAGTATTATAATATATGATTGGGACTATCAATGGACATATGATTTGTTCCTTGAGATCTATGAATTGGATCATAATGACCATCTAATTGAATAGATGATTACAAAAGGGGTAAGTAAAAATACTTGAGAGGATTAGACTGAGGTTAGGAATTAATAGCAACAGGACGTGCCAACCTCCAATTCAACATCAGGTGATATACTGTGACCGTATTCTCTGACTTCACATTACGATGCAAATAAATGGGTCCTTCTTTGTTTATACGTCCATGAGATATACAAACAGTATGACCCACTTCTAATAGAAACACCCCTGTGCCTTACGTAATCGTTGGGTAATTTGTTGGAGCGAGAGATATACCGAAAATGCACTTTATGACCAAGTGGGTCAACTTCAGTGATATACACTGTTCGCCAACAGCCATGGAACCACCCCGATTTCCTGAAAAAGATATTAGGAGTCAAAATAGGTTGAAAATCACTCCGGATTCGGAATCAGGACGCCCAATTCAATAACTATTCATATTTCTCCTGGAGAATTTACAGGAAAAATATGAATACTTAGTGAATTAGGCATCCTGATTCCGAATCCGAAGTGATTTTCAACCTATTATGACTCCTAATATCATTTTCCGGAAATTGAGGTGGTTCCATGACTGTTGGCAGTATAACACTGACGATGACCACACTTGATGATAAAGTGTATTTTTGGTACATCTCTCTCTCCAGCAAATATCAGGATCCTTACCCAACTATTACATAAGATACAGGGGTGTTTCCATTATGAATGGGTCACACTGTATATAAAGATTTGTTAAAATTAAAAGTCATTTCATGAATTTGCATCCAAGATGATATGTTTTCCAAATCACTTGTAATATCCCGTTCGATATCATTCAATTCGTTGGATACATACATCAATGTTGTATCAACTGCAAACAATTTGAGCGCTCCTTTCAATTTCAGAGTTGATATCAAATTTATATAAATTGAAAATAAAATTGGTCCCAAAACTGATCCTTGCGGTGTGATATTCATGAGTGAGCTACAAGTATAATTCACTTCAACATACTGCTTTCTATTTGTCAAATAATTTGTGAACCATTAATTCTTCCTCTGACACCTATGGAATATAATTTATTAAGTGAAATGGTATGATCTACAGTGTCAAATGCCTTACATAGATTTGAGGTCAAGAAGCCCTTTTTTATAATTTTCATCTATCGGTGACTAATGTTCGAAATTACATCCATCACTGCTATCTCTGTATCCTTTGACCTACAGAATCCATATTGACCACTGTACAGGGTGATCGGTTAAGTGTAGCGAGCGGCCATATCTCATAAGATATTGGTCGTATAGATTTTAGAAAAAAAAATCAGGATAAAAATCGCCACGAGAAATTGCTGAAAATTATTTTCGAGTTTGTCAAACGACCGATAGAAGGCGTAATAACCAACACCAAGTGGAAAAATGGGGTTTTTATAGAATTTTGTCTAATGAAAGTATATCGATGATATCATTTTCATATCTTCTGACCATTTCCCTACATTTTTTGTCTGAAACGTTTTGTTCTATCCATCAAAATGAAGTGATAGGGAGAAGTTCAATTGTTTTTTAAACAAACCAAGATTTCTCCCATTCATTTCGACCGATTTTAGCAAACTTAGGCTCATATGAAAGAGCATAATTTGCCCTACAAAGCGCTTATTTGGTTTTGAATTTTTGACTTTTGCTGTCGCCACTAGATGGCGTTAACTGAAATGTTAGTAAATTTTTGAGTTTTAAAAAACACAAACAAATGTAATGGTATATGAAATAAAATAGGTTCACATACTGGGCGCCCCATGTAAACTTATTTTATTTTTTCAATCCAAAACCGTTTGTGTAACGAAAAAAAGTCACTTGAAAACAGTGGCGTGCCATTTTTCAATATCATTACATTTGTTTTGTTTTTTTTTTTGAAAAAAACTCAAAAAATTGCTAACATTTCAGTTAACGCCATCTAGCGGCGACAGCAAGAGTCAAAAATTCAAAACCAAATAAGCGTTTTGTAGGGCAAATTATCCTCTTTCATATGAGCCTAAGTTTGCTAAAATCGGTCGAAATAAACGGGAGAAATCTTGGTTTGTTCAAAAAAACAATTGAACTCCCCCCACCGCTTTATTTTGATAGATAGAACAAACGTTTCAGCCAAAAAATGTAGGGAAATGGTCAGTAAATATGAAAATGATATCATCGATACACTTTCATTAGACAAAATTCTATAAAAATCCCATTTTTCGACTTGGTGTTGGTTGTTAACTTACGGATTTTTCAAGATATTCGAATATGCTTTCCTCAATAGACTACTGCCATTCTTGGATAGACATCAGGTGGTTAGTGAGAAACAACATGGTTTCCGTTCGGGAATGTCTACTACTACCGCATTTTTTTCATTCTATCATAAAATTATAGATATAATTGACGGAGGCGAATGCCCTGCAGCAATAATTTGCGACTTGAGCAAGGCATTTGACTGCGTTAATCATGACAAAATTCTATCAATATTGGAAACATATGGATTGCGAGGCTCAGCACTTGAATGGATCACATCTTTTTTGAAAAATCGGAAACAAATAGTCACCTTACAATTTCAACATGGTGGGAAAACTGAATTTGTTGAATCTGATACTGGGAGGTTGACTAGAGGCGTGCCACAGGGCTCAATATTGGGGCCTGTACTTTTTATTTTGTATGTGAATCATTTGGATCATATTATTGACACAGAGCATTATACTGCATATGCAGATGATTTCTCCTTAATCGTTTCCGATTCAGATACGAAAATCTTGGAAGAAAAATATAATGGTATCATAAATAAAGTAGCAAGATTCTTCAATGGGCGTGACCTTTTTTTCAATGTTGATAAGACAAAAATATAAGAATTCATAATCACCAAAAAAATGTTGAGAATTTGTAAATTCTCATAGAAGACACTTTTCTTACAAATTCTCACAAACCTGTGAAAATATTGGGAATTCATCTAGATGTATACCTACATTGAAAACCTCAATGTGAACAATTGATTTCAAAATTGAGTTCAATGAAATAAATGTTTGCTAACCTACGTACTGTTTTGGATACGCATCAGCTCTCAAATTTGTATTATGCACAAATTGAATCACGGCTAAAATATGGTATTTGTTTCTGGGGTAATTCATCTCATGCATGTAATGTTTTTGCTATTCAGAAACGAATTATTGGGTGTATTTTAAAAATTCCGCGGATGGGTTCATGCAGAAGTATATTTAAATATTTCAATGTACTGCCAGTTCCATGTTTATATATATTTGAATTATGTGTATACGTTTTCCAGAACAAACAAGAATTTATGCTCAACATGGATGTACACGAACATAATACGAGACATAAAAGTGACAGAATAAAAAAGACGAGGCTGAATATTTCTTCATGTTCTCCAAATATATTTGGCCCGAAATTGTTTAATACTCTACCAAAAGAGATGAGGTCTTGTGACTCCCTAATACTCTTTGAAAGGAGACTTGAACTATTTCTAGCAGATAGGACGTTTTATAATATAAACGAATTTTTATTTACTGGTAACGTGTGATAAACACACTGGTATTGTATTTTTTCAATAATATTTTATTTTCATTGTATGTTTAAATTTTATCTTTTCATTTAATGCTACGAATTATTCACAATTTCTTGTATTTGTACTAACATAAATTAATTGATTGACTATTTCCTATACATGTTGAATGTCAAAAGGATAATAAACTACTTACTTGATACGCCCTCTAGCGGATGTTTGACAAACTCGAAAATAGTTTCCAGCAATTTCTCTTGGCGACTTTCATCATGATTATTTTTTTTTCAAATCTATACGACCAATATCTTATGAGATATGGCCGCTCGCTACCCTTAACTGATCCCCCTGTCCAATAGATCGTTATTTTCAATTGATCCGACCTTACCTGCGGACAAGATGACGTCATCGTCGTGCGGGTGCGCTTCTAGCACGTAGATCTCGTCCGTGTGGCCCGTGAGGACTTTATCGAGTTGGCCGCCCGAGGAGTTCCACGTTTTGAGGGTGCAATCGCTGACGGCCGTCACCACATAGTTGTCGGTCTTGTTCCAGCACACCATCGTCACTTTCAGCCTTTTGGTGTCGGTTTCCGCCGCATTTTGGGCACTGCGAACAATAGTGTTGAATAAGACACGCCTATTTCAAGATCCATTAAGATCCCAGCAAACACGACATAGCTGGCGATTCGATGGTCCATTGATTTGATCGATGGCATACTTTCTGGCACTATTTTTCAGTGATGAAAAAGTACTTGTTCATTGCTTTTACAATCATATAATATGTATGTTGCACATTAATTGTGTTGGTACAATAGTATATGTCCTATGGATCAAGATTGCACTCTTTGGTAGCAGTCCATATTGCTCAAAGTGGAGTGAAAATTTTCAAAGGATAAAAGGAAGGAAGGAATGCTCGAAGTCTCAACTCTAATACCGTGGTAGTCAATGGTTTTCAGGTTTGCTCAACTCCTCCCAACATGCATTCCCCTTCCTACCACCACATTATTCAAGTAGTTGTATCAGCTATTGTTACATGCCTATGCTCATTGTCGGAATTTCATGTTATGTCCCTTGACATTGACTTTATGATTCATGTCAACGACTTGTTTATGTCATTATTTGACATTATTTTCAGTGTTTCCTAACCCATTTAGATTTAAACACGTGCTGGCAGTTTGCCACTTCAATTTTATTAATATTCTCTTTTAGTAGCGCTTCCATAGTGGGCACGGGGAACCCCTTTTTTAGAAACTCATCTAATTCTTTCACAGCACATCCTGTTTGCAAGAGGATATGTTTCTTAACTATAATTTTGAATTGAGTGATCTTTGTGCAACTTTTGATACCATCAGATAATCTATTGAATTTTGAGATAGCTTCGTTAGTAAACTTTTTCTTTGCCAAGGGTAGAATTAGCAGCATAAAACAATTCATATTGTCTAGTATGATGTTCATGGATTTGAGAATTCCTTACCAATATGAAGTTAGATTTGAGGTGTTTCTTGATAATATCGAAAGAAGTTTCGAGAATGGAGATGACTTCGACCATTCCTTACTTCTATTGCAAGTTTGAACTATTTTCATGGCATTGGGGAATCAATGGGTATGATCCATTTTACAAAGATCACTGGAACAGTACTGGTTGAACGATGAATAAAGGATATAAATTCCTAAATATCATAAAGTCATCAATGAAATCATAATGGATCATCAGCCTATAAGATGCATTTCAGTGACAGCTTTTTTTCGACAAACGACAATTGATGTGTTATCAATAGGTCTTCCATTTTGTTATTTATATCCTCTTGCGCATGAGCCGTTTCAGCCGCCATGTGTTATTGAGAGATGTGAAGTGAACAAGTGAATAAATATAAAGTTGTATGAGTGTATTTTTCAATTTCAATTCGAAATAACGAATTTATTTGTATGAAATGATATTCCTCTTCAAGAACATCCATCGTAATATGTTATAGTACTTTTACTATGACGTTTCAGTCCTGAAAGCAATCTACTTCTACCTCAGACTCGAGCATTTGTTACCACCTGACTATTGTTGCAACAGGCTAGGTAATATGCAGTTGTGATTTATAAGTTACTTAGAATTCACAAATATTTAGCTCATTCCAATATGCAGTTGTGATTTATAGGTTACTTAGAATTCACAAATATTTAGTTCATTCCAGATCGAATGAGAGAAGTTATCGAGTTTTTAGCCATCTTCCAGATATTCAAAAAATTGCAATATCAATCAACAGAAACGGAATTCGTGAACTCTTGGATGATTTACCGAGAAGTTTCATTGGAGTAATTATTATTATTATCATTATTATTATGAATAAAATAATATTTTCTATATGTAACCTCAAAATTCTCTGTGTAAGTATAAACCACTTAATTCATTCATTTTCATTGGGAATACACTGAAAAAACGTCACAAGTCAACACTAAATGTAAATAAATCAAGGGCTTGACCGATTGGGTTGACATTTTTAATACGTGAAACAACAACAAAAAATACAAAAGATACTGAAAGAATAAACATAGGTGTAAGTATATATTAATGGCTTAAGGTTAGCACAAAAAAAATCAAAAAATAACACGCGCATAGCTCAGAACGACTGCAACAAATGTCTAATTTTTGTCAAATGGGTACACCAACCGTGCGAAGCCGGGCCGGACAGTTAGTCATTGATAAATACATTTCAAATTGTATTCAAATTTCATCGTCATTTGGCAAAATATCTCGAGATAAATCGTATCACATGGATTTAAACAAAGTGTTTTTTGAATAAACGAAGGTGTATAACAGAAGTAGCTTTGACTAGTTGTGTATGTGATTTCCATAGTAGAATTAAAATTAAAAATTGATAAAAATCGATATAAATTGGTGAACAATCTGTAAAAGTTGGTGCAAAATCCTAAAACATCGATGAAATGGGTAGACATTAGGGGGTTTTGACACATCCAGGTAAATTATTACATTTTAAATAAAAGGGGTGAATAGTCTTATATATGTATGTAATATACTAATTTCTTACCTCGGTAACCTAGTCGACATCTGCAAATGGATGCTCTTCCACTGTTGCCGCTCGAACCACCAAATAATAGCCATGCCATCCTTGCTCCCGGACAAAAACCTCAACCCCGCATGCGCCCATTGTATCGAGTCCACCCTGTCGCTGTGCGCCTCCATCTCCAGGATCCGATGCGGCCCTTCAACAAAAGTTGATTAACAAAGAGAGAAAAACTCAAAGTCATTACCACAATAGTTTATAAAATGAAAGAAAATGGTAGATGGCGAGAGAAAAACAACTACTTTCCTGGCTATGTGCCACGCAGAACATTGGATTACATCCTTCCGAAATATATGCAATAATTCGTATAGACGAATAAAATCGCAAGTGTTTCTTTCCTAAACGGCGAGCTGCGCCTAAGTGGTTTAGGAACGCGTGACCACCTGCACGGCTGTCCCAGATAGCTTCTTGACCGCTATCCGGTGCGAACCTGACGCAATGTTAACGCATCTCAGCATTTATACCCCACGAGGCGTTCAACGTCCGCGAAATGAATGGGAGGCGTGAAATGTTTTTTAAATTCGAAGAAAAAAATTAGTTGAGAATTAGAATTATTATTACCCAGTATGTTCTTTTGTGAAAGTAAAATTCGAAATTCTATCCCTTGCGCCCATAATAAGAAAAACTTAGATTGTAAAAAAATCGTGAGGTGTGAAATAAGTTTTCCTTATCTCCCTTACACAAGAAAAGAGAAATGAGCACGTGTTGTTTGTCGGCTGATCGTGAAAGAGACCCGCCTGACAAAAAAATCACCTCGTTATTCCTCACGCTGAGAACAATAGTGTGACAACTCAAAATAGTTGATTTTTGAGTTAGAACCACCGTCGGGATAGCAAATTACGAGCTCTACATTTCTAGAAAACCGTGACATCTCTAGGCCCAATAGCTGCTGCGTGATATCGCTGGTCACGTTATTGCACTAGAGGACAAGTAGATACTACAGCCGAACAAGGAAGTGACTTTTTGCGTTCTCACCTAAACTTCGCAGGATACGCCTCGTATTCTTACTTTGAGGACAATTTTATGATAAATAATGTGATAAGTCATTAAATCACCTTATTGTCTAAACATAATTTGACATTTTTTGAGCTGTCACATTATTACATTTTCATCATTGAATGAAATAATGAATTGAATGCAACAATTTTGTTATTTGTAATGTTAACAATATGGAATATTTTTCACATTATTGCATGCGTTGCACTTAGAGTAGGTAATACGAGCTTTTGCAGAAAGATTGAAATAATAGCAACAATAAGATAGCCCTTTAAAATAAAAAAAGGAATACAAAACTAGAATGAAACTTTCGAATGTATGTAATTCAAATATTTCTCTTTGCATGAAATATCAAGCTGCACCTCATAGTTAAATTCCAATTTTGAAAAATATATTATAATTTCTTCGGATTAAACCTTTGGAAAAATGTATGTTTGATAGAATTCCTAAGAATAGATTTGAATTTGAATTTTATTCATTATAGGTATTTCCTTCATTCAGAAAATTTACCTATACCTTATTAGTGCCTATAGTCACTTATTTTCCCAAACTATGGTATTTCAACTTCATGCGAATTTTCAATGACACTTATTGCTATTCAACTCAAAATTTGTCTTTTGCAAATACCCGTTTGTTTCTATTCAGAAACTAAAGAAAATAGAAAAACTGCCAAAAGAGGAATGTTTAGCAACCGATTTGGATTTTGCTGAAATGAGAGGAACTCAAAAGCACATCTTCAATGAATCCAGTCATGAATATAATGGAATCTACAAATGAAGAAAAACACCAGTTATACTGCAATTTATTGAGATGTGACATCTCAAAAAATTGCTGCTTTTCAGGCGTGACATCTATAGAAATTGTCGAATATGATGAATCAAAACTGTAACATGTCGAAACTTTTTCTTGAAAAATTGGAACAAAATACTGGAAAATATTACAACTGAAAATTTCCCATGAAAGCTTTTGACATAATAATATAATTTGAACTAAATATACTTTTCGCAGTGAATGAGGTCCACCAGAGACAAATGCATCATCATTAAGAAGTGAAAATTTTCGAAAGTAAATTTTCTCAAAACGGAGAATTTTGAATTATCACATTATTGTTCTCAACGTGCGATTTATGTCCTATGTTTTATGTTTCTTACATCTAAATACTGTCTGTAGGTTAATCGAGGAGGTGGTACCATCATTATTCCAAATTGTTTGGGATTTTCTCTCCTCGTTTATATAAGATAAAAATATGGATATTATTTCAATATACGTGTAGTAAGAACAAATCAGATGATTTGCCCCAAAATGTCAATGCGATTAAAGAATTATCTATCAGAGAGCCTAAAAGAAAAACTCACTAGCTTGTCAGTGACAATTTGTATTGAGAAAAGTTTTGAGAAGAGAAATATAGGTATATAGAAAAAATATCAAATTTTCACTTATCTTTGGATGTTTCGGAACCGAATCTGCTCCCGTTTTAAACATAAGAAATGGTTATTTTAATAGCAAAGTCGTATGTAATTTGATATTTTTTCTATAAACAGTGTCATTCATAAAGTCGGCATCATATGGGAAAAACTTTTATTAATGACTTATTTTGAAATTCGAGTTGGACGTTAAGTTTTGCTTCAAAAAAGATGAAAAATGGCCTACTCAAACAGGGTCACGTGACTTTCGCTACATGGCAGAAGTGACATTTTTCAAATTAATCGCTGAAAGTAGGCTTATTTGTTCGAATATCGAAAAAGTTTACTTGAAAAAGTTGTTTCTATTTGAATTTTACAAACAGTAACTCGGATTGTATCTTTTTATTACATTTTTTAGATTTCGATATTTTTTAAAATTTTCGAAATTTCTGTAATATTAAAAAAATGTTAATTCGATAAAACTACTTCATACCAGTAGTTTCATCATGCTACTAACTTTCAATTACTAATTATCACTAATTATCGACAAAAATATGATTTTCTTCAGAAAATGATAATCTCCCCTTCAAAATTCTGTTATGTTTGATGCAAACATAACATCAAAATTCTGTTATGTTTGAATCGAGCATTTAGAAACGAAATTCATTTCAATTCATTTTTCCAGTACTGAAAAGACCAGTTTAAATAAATTTTGTTTTTAAATGCTTGACGATATATCAACTTTGCATCAAACATAACAGAATTTGAAAGCAGGTATTATCATTTTCGGAAGAAAATCATATTTCTGTCCATAATCAGTGATAATAAGTTATTGAAAGTAAGTAGTATGAAAAAGCTACTGGTATGAAGTAGTTTCGTGGAATTAAAAATTCTCCAAATATTACAGAAATTTCGAAAAATTAAAAAAAAATCAAAATCTAAAAGTTGCAATAGAAAGATCAAATTCGAGAAGCATGTGTAAAATTGAAATAGAAACAACTTTTTCAAGTAAACTTTTTCGATATTCGAACAAATAAGCCTACTTTCAGCGGTTAATTTGAAAAAATGTCACTTTTAACATGTACCGAAAGTCACGTGACCCTGATTGAGTAGGCCATTTTTCATCTTTTTTGAAGCAAAACTTAACGTCCAACTCGAATTCCAAAATAAGTCATTAATAAAAGTTTTTCCCATATGATGCCGACTTTATGAATGACACTGTATACCTTTATTTCTCTTCTCCAAACTTTTTTCAATACAAATTGTCACTGACAAGCTAGTGAATTTCTCTTTTAGGCTCTCTGATAAAAAATTCTTCAAACGCAGTGACATTTTGGGGCAAATCATCTGTGTATTGAAATAATATTCATATTTTTATTTTATAGAAACGAGGAGAGAAAATCCCAAAAAATTTGGAATAATTTCTTATATCTCCTTGTTGTACATATTGTAACATGAAGACCAATAGATCATTTTATCTCATCTTACCTTCGTCGCCCTTCATGTAGTAGACGCGCACGTGATGATCGGCGGAGCCTGTAGCTAGGAAAGTGCCTCCAGGGCTGAAGGACGAGCATATCATTTGGGATTGGCCCGGCCGGATTTTCTCCTGGTACATGATGGGGTTCCTCCTGCAAAAATCAACACCTTCGTAGTTATGTCTTTCCACTAAAATTTTGTATCCATATCAAAACATATTGAATCGATCAGAAAGAAGATATCTTCAGTAATTGGAGTACTCTACAGGATCAGACACCAAATTGCTTTGAAATACTTAAAATGTGTATATTTTCCTTGGTTTATTTAAAATTGCAATACTTGATTTCAGTTTGGGGTACAGCTAGATTATTAATTACTAAGCCAATCAGAATCCTTGAAAAAAAAGTTATAAAATGTATATATTTTTTATGTTATGGTTCTCACGAAAAGGGATATCCACAAGAGAAGATCGTAAGAACCAAGGGAAATAAGGTAGGAATTGGTGTTCTTCTTGAAGTTCTGGAGGTTATATGCCTCGAGGAACACCTCCCTTGGCAATGTGCCAGAGCCTCGCTGTTCGTTGGATAAACGAGTCTTCGGAAAGAGATGTTCTGCAGGTCTCCAAAGTGACCACGAAAGGGTGCGAAGCCTCAACTCGACGGGTTAATCTCGCGGGGACTGCCAATGAAGGAACAATTGTTGATATTTCATAAGAGCATCGTCCATAAAAATATCTATAAAATAGGGCCAGATCGCCAACTTGTCTACGGTGTTCCACAGAAGTGAGTGAGTTCGTGAGCGAGGCATCACCAACGAGAGGAATTGCTCTTTTTTGGACAGAATCCAACAGTTTGGGAACAGTATTCCAGGACAGGTCGGATCTGTGCCTTATAGATCATAAGCAGCTGACTGGAACTGAAAGTGATGATATATAATAAAACAGAAAGATTGTTTGATTAATGAACTACAAGACAAAATAAGAATATTGAATGCACAAATAGAATTGCTGAATAAAATTAATTCCGCCATCCATATTGATGAGAATTCCATTCACAACAAACCCAGTGCCAACAAAAAAGACGAAGATAAGGTTTCCAAAAAAATCGTACCCATTCCTGACAAAAACATAGGGAATTCCATCAACAATCAGAACAAGACAAAAACACGTGCGATGACTAGAATTCCTGAGGACACACCACAGCAGTTTTACAGTGTTGCCAGTTCATCTCAAACATCTGGCATTACACCGAACACTCTCTCGAGTGCCCTCAATGAAGTGAACACTAAATCAACTATGGAAAAATATATAAATATCAATAAAGAAGAAGAATGGAAAACAGTCCATCCGAGAAAGAAGCCGCGAAGAAATAGTATAGTTGGAAATAATACAGACGACAAGATTAAAGGTGTTCCCAAATATGTGTTCTTGCACGTTTGCAGAGTGGATCCTGTGACAACTCAACAAGATTTGAAAGATCAACTAAAGAAGCATTTTCCTGAAGTCACGTGTGAATTATTAACTTCTAAACAACCCACCATATATTCATCATTCAAAGTAGGAATATACGATAGGAACTTCAAAACGGCAATGAATCCGGACTTATGGCCAAATGGTTCATATATAAGTCGTTTTTTATATCATCGCCTGAAAGCAAACCCAATTCACCGCTAATCAGCCCTCATATTCTGCTACTAAATGTAAATACTTTTAATTTTGACAAAGTTGATCATTTTTCTACTGAATTTCAATGTTACAGCAGTTTGCAATTTTTATGCATAACAGAAATAGGAGTCAAGCTAGATATGTTACGAAATATTGTAATTCCTGGATTTCACTTAGGATCCCATTATTGTAGACCAAATAAACTGAAGGGAGGTGTTGCCATTTGGGTGAAACAACAAATTGATGTAACTGAAATTGATCTGAACAAATATTGCATAGAACAAGATTTTGAAATATGTGCTGTCTCATACGAAATCAAAAAACGTAAATTTATTATTGCAAATTGCTATAGATCTCCTTCTGGGAATGTGGATATTTTTTTCAGTCAAATGAAACTTGTAATTGAATACATATTTAAGCCGAGTGTACATTTCACAGTTTGTGGTGATTTTAATTTTGATCTGTACAGTAACTCAAATTTTAATGAACTATGTTCTCTGATGTGTTGTCTTAATATTATGCCAATGGTGGGATGGCCTACAAGAGTAACCAATAATAGTTGCACTATTATAGACCAGATATTTACAAGCGACCCACATACTTGCTTTGTCTTTGATAATGAATTATCAGACCATCGCACAGTCTTATTGGAACCTACGAATAACACTCATAAGAAGAAACAGTCAACCAGTGAAGTTAAAAGATTGTTTTCCGAAACAAATATAAACAGTTTTCAAGAAACATTGCAGAAAGAGAATTGGACTGGAATCTATCAGGTAAATTGTTTTGAAGAAGCATTTGACGAATTTTATAATATCCTATGTTATAATTTTGAACTGTGTTTCCCAAAACAGAAGTATCATGCTAAACAAAACGACAAAGGATGGATAAGTACAGCCATCAAAGAATCTAGTACCTTATTGAAACAGTTGTTCAATTTGAAAAAAGTTGACATCTCTTTAACAGATGTTTATAATAAGGCAAAAAAAGATCATGTAAAATTAATTAAGAATACCAAAAAAATATACTATCAAAATAAAATAATGAATGTTGAAAATAATTCAAAAGCATTATGGAAGGTGGTATCTGAGATAACAAATAAAAGAAATGAACATTCAAATATTGCTATCACTAAAGAAGGGGAGTTAATTGAACAACCTCAGGCCATCGTTAATAATTTCAATTCTTATTTTCTAGAAAGTCCAAAAATGCTTGTATCACAAATTGAAGTATCTGATGACTCAGTTGTAGTACCTTTAAATGACTTCAACTCTCACTCTATGTTTTTGCAACCTTTTAGTGAAATTGAACTTTTTAATCTACTGATATCGAAAATCAAGAATAGAAAATCTTCTGGTATGGATGAGATACCGGCCTTTGTAATAAAAAAAGTTCTACACATAATTATAAAACCGATAACTTACCTAGTAAATATGTCATTTGAATATGGGATTTTTCCCTCAAAGCTGAAATTGGGGAAGGTTACCCCTATTCAGAAAAATAAAAAACTGAATAGTATCGAAAACTTTAGACCTGTCACTGTACCGCAAACTTTGTCAAAGATTTTTGAATATTCTTTTTTGGACCGAATGTTACATTTCATAAATAAACATAATATTATAAAGTCCACACAATATGGTTTTCGCAGTGGTAAGTCCACTCAATCAGCTTTATTGCAATTTTACAATACACTTGTCAATTTTCTCAATGATGGCGAATGCCCTGCTGCAGTTTTATGTGACTTAAGCAAGGCTTTCGACTGCGTTAATCATCTAAAACTACTAGATATTATAGAATCTTACGGTTTTAGAGGAAAGCCTCATAGTTGGCTGAGAACTTTTCTTGAGAATCGAAGCCAATGTGTTGCTTTAAGATTTGAACATAATGATTCGATATCACTAGTGACATCAGAAATAGGATCGGTATGTATGGGTGTTCCTCAGGGATCCATATTGGGACCGATTCTGTTCTTGCTGTACATCAATAGATTTGAAGCTAATATACTCCACTCAGATTTCGTTGCGTACGCGGACGATATATCCATCTTAAAGTCATCAACTGATACATTTTTATTGAAACAAGAAACCGAGAAATTACTAGCCGCCGCTTGTAAGTTTTTCAATAACCACGATCTATATTTCAACGGTAAGAAAACCCAAGTAATTCGTTTTCATAACTATAAACAGCCATCAGTTGAATTTCAACTGGATTTCAATAAAACAGTCTTGTCCGATAAAGATACAGTTAAATTTCTTGGAATTTACTTCGATAAACACGTCAACTGGGTGTCACACTGTGAGGGGCTAATCTCAAAATTACACTCATCCTATTACATGTTCAAGAACTTAAAAACAGTACTAGATGTTGGCCAGCTCGTAAATATCTATTATGCACAAATTGAATCGCGCCTTCGTTATGGCATCTGCTTGTGGGGCATCTCTACCAAGTCAAAAGATGTTTTCATTGCTCAAAAGGCAATTATGAGGTGCATTTTTAACATTCCTCGTAGAGAAACTTGCAAACAAATTTTTCAATCCAATAATATTTTGACTCTCGCTAGTTTATACATATTTGAGATTGCATGTTATATTTATTGCAACATAACCTATTTCAAACTTAATAAAGACATTCATAACATGAATACTCGCCAGAAAGGCATAATTCATACACAAATTGGAAAATACAAAGTAGCCCAAAATGCACCTAATTTCATAGGACCACGTATTTTCAATCATTTATCTGAGAATATTAAATCAAGCTTAACACTTAAAGTTTTCAAAACGCGCCTCAAAACATTTTTGGTGCAACATTCTTTTTATACTGTGCAAGATTTCTTGGATTGTCCGGTACAGTGATATTTTATTTTATTTTGTACTGTATTTCGTTTCTGTATATCTATGTATTGTGTTTTTTATGTATTTTTTAAAAATTTTGACGTTTCCGACACAATGTATTATTGTCTTAAGGAATAAAGATTTGATTGATTGATTGATTGATTGATTGATTGAAATAGCTCCGATGGCCCGAAACAAAAAAACAAGTTTTTGGGATGCACTTTTGGCAATTGATCTCACGTGATTTTCTCAAGAAAGGTTATTGCTGATAGTAATACCAAGCATCGCAATGGAAGTCTTCAAAGGTATGATTACTCCTGACCTGCTTCTGTTGGGCACAGTGAGATCGGCTTTCCTAGAGAAAAGGCATGCTCGTGTTTTGTTTGCATTGAAATCTACCAAGTTATTGGATCCCCATTCTAGAATTGTTGCCAAGTCCATATTTATGTTGTCAACATTTCTCCCTCGTTCGTTTCTGATTTGCCTTGCTGGTATTGGAGCCCTGAAAGAGAAGGCGGTATGGAGGGTACTATCATTCGCGAAGCTGTGTACTGGACATGAAGTTGCTTCCAACAAATCGTTGATATGGAGTAGAAATAGTGTTGGTGCTATAATTGATCCTTGCGGAACACCAGCATTTATGATAAGAGAGTCA